TGTGGCTCCCATCATGAAAAAAATGAAACCAACATCAACATTTGATTTTTCATCTATTCGGTACATGTAGCTTTTGAATTTTTAAAAGCTAACTATGCTCATCTCTATATCCAGTCACACAGCCAGTATGGCTCAAGTCGGAAATATCAAATTGGAGCAGAGTGGAGGGAGGCGCAAGGCTGTGGGGCGTACCACAAGCCGTCGCTCAGCCATGAGTTGGCATTCTATGGAGGCAAGTTGACTAGCTAACTGCCTGACTGACTGCCTGACTGACTGACTGACTGGCTGGTTGGCTAAGTGGGCGGCGGCTGATGGGCGGTATGTTGGCATACAATACTGTGCCACACCACTTAAACTAATTTGATTTCTATTGAAGTAAACAAATAATAAATAATGAATTTACATTTCTATACGTGCTTTAAAAGCAACGCCCCACAGACATGACGTTTGCAACGCGTATTGCCTCCGCTCCGGGTCCTTCTCTGACTGCACCTTTCCCAACATCCAAGTGGATACATCTGTCTGATATGCGGTTTAAATTCATGTATGCCTCTTAGTCTGTGCTACTTATATTACGTGCCATGTGAGATCATCATCGTCATCATCCTCACCAGCAGCATCATCATCGTCATCTACTTGTATGCAGTTGTTCTTGGCTTTAATTGCACTTGCCTCTCTGCGACTCTATAGTTCTATAGCTCTACGGCTCTATTGCTCTATGCTTCTGCTTATAATTAGGCAGAAATGAAAAGAAAATAACTCGACACTTCAGCGAAATGAAGAAATAAACGAACTAAAGCAACTGGTACTCAAAGAATGTGTTTGAAAATGAAATAGCGACGCCTCGCACTGTCCAACTCGCGACTTGAAAGCTATTTTTATATACCTACATACTACCCGTACATAGGTAAGTATATACACAAGTATGTACGCGCCCGACGCGCTTTATTTTTAGGCACAAGGATTGAACGATTCGGCAAGACACACAGGATACGAGCAGCTCACAGAATGAGACAAATTGTAATTCGAAAATAAAATGCATGAATACATACATACTTTCCATTTGAGAAATTATGCTCAAAAAATACTAAAAATATATATATTTTTAAACAAAGACTTAAACATTTTAGTCATTGCTGTTACTGCCGCCGTTGTTGCTTGAATTCTTATAAATAAATCATTATTAAAATGGCAAACAACCAAAAATTGTTGGGTAAAACAAACTAAAGAGCCTTAGGCGTGCAAATCAAACGTAAAGCTTAACATCATATTTCGTTAGTGCTTTTGGTCATTTTTCGGTTTATGGGTTTCGGGCTATAGCGAGAAGGAAATAAATATACATATAGTATGTATACAATATATATATACATTTATATCATTTACATGTTTGCTAACAAATTTTTAGTTTAATTCAATTTCAAAACGTCTCTGCGAAACAAAATGCTATTTACAGTGAGACCTCCATAGAAGTACGATGCTACTAATATCTTAGGTGCGGCATAATGCTAGGGGATGTGTTGCTGAAGCAATGATATAGAACATAGATTTCTTTCTCCAATCATGAGATAAATATGGTTTATTTTATTGCTAGAATCGCTCTAATGTTCTAATAAAAAGAACATAATATCCAGTGCATTGTAGTATTAGTTTTTTATAAACAGAACAATATTATTGTTCGTTAAATATCGAAATATACTTTTCTATATTGTGTCAGGGACACAAATGTAAAGCATTTTGTTTTCCATGTTGCAATACAAGTTTACAATTAATTAAGTCATTCATGCTTGTCAAAATCAATTTCAATACTCTTATAGTCTCTGACCTATAAATGTTTGTTCTTCTTACAAAATTTTACGTTATATTGTTTTCTTCGAATTCTCAGAGTAAAGTAACCCACCCTGCAATCCATTTCAAACGTTCAAATACGAATTCGTTCGATACTTTAAAAAAAATAGTCATTTAATTTCTTGAAATTCTCAAAGATCTAGTACCCAATTGAAGTATAGATGTTCTACATATAAATACAAATCGACCCTTTTCATACTTCTAAAATAAAATGGTTTTGGTACCTTTAAATACAAATAGATTTTATGGAAAAATATATTTGATTTAAATTGGTTGATATGAAATCTCGAGAGCCCTTTGATGGTATTTGATTGCGAGTGTATTTCTCAAGTTCGAAATTGCGAAATCGTAAATTTTATACTGACATCGATAGGTTATGCACATGACCGGATCTAACAAGAGGTGGCTAAATGCGCGTAAAATCGAAACATACTGATCTTGTTTTTGTGGATTCACATTAATTTGGTTGGGAATTAGAACTTTTTCTTTTTAATATTTTCCTTAAGGTAATGTTGATGTTGAAGAAATATCCTAATACCCATGAACGACTGGACAGATTCATAAACTTCTGTACGAAAACAGAATTTTATAAAACAAGGAAATTTGCGACAGCTTTCACAACTACATTTATTATCGTTATCGAAAACTTAATAACGAGGCCTCTTTCGTCGTTCTTTAATCAACTATCGCCTCCTTCATCTTACCAAAAACGTTTGTTGTATTTGTATACAGCTGTGGTAAAGCTAACTGCTATGTAACTTGAATAAGTACGGCAATTCTTTGGTAATCTAATTAGACAGGTCAACTATCGCTCCTCCATCTTCTCAAAGTTGTTGTTATATACAAGTACAGCTGTGGTAAAGCTTACTACTTTAATAACTTTAATAAGTACAGCAATTCTTCGTTAGGAATCTAATTGGACAGGTCAGTAAGTCTTAAATCCCTTACCTTTTAGTTGAAATTATTGTGTTACCGATATGATGTGTTGTCCAACTTAGTAGGGATTTCACTGTACATAAGCATTTGTTTGCAGTTGATATTCGTATCGTTGTACCGATTTATATTGTTGCTGTTCTTGTTGGTATTATTGTTGTTCTTTTTGTTCTGTTGTTGGCTATTAGTTTGTGTGTGTTATGCTATTATTATTATAGTGCGTGTGTCGGTCGTCGATGGTTTTGATTTCGCATGAATTTGGATGAATTTTATTTACAAATGAGTCGAAACGACGACATGAGCGACAACCACGCCCCGCCCAGCACCAAACCCCAATTATATGTATTTGTATGTTTCTATATTTATGGATAAAGTTGAATGTAAATACAAAAATGTTGGTTGGTGCGTATTATTTGTACACAAGAGAAAAAAAACATTGAAAATAATCAAAAAACTATACAAATTGAAACGCGTAGTGTAGAAAATTTGCTGCATGTGGCGGCCATTTGAAAAATGTACAAAATTTCATATGCAAATTTCAAAACCCAATCAAACTTATTTATACACGAGTGTTGTATATGTGTATGTATGTACATATGTATGCGATTCAACTGTACATAACACACACACACGGACACACATAAATATATATATAGATATAGTAGATGGGGAAACAAATATGGATATGCGTTGGTTTTGATTTGTTTTTTTTTTTTGTTGTTGTTGTTGTAGTAGTTGTAGTTGTTATTAATATTTATTATTGTTGTTGCTGTTGCTGTTGATGATGTGGAGTTGGAGTTGTTTAAAAATATTGAAGTAAAGAAAATATACATATCATATAAATATTGAATAGAGATTGCAAATATATAGATATATATATAAATGTTTCATAATAAAAATATATATGAACAAACAATTGGTTTTTTGTTAAGGAACATTGGTTTTATATATTTACAAAATTTGTTTTCATATTGTTGCTGTTGCTGTTAATTATTTACAGTTAAAGTGAAACGCAAAACGTTCGGTCGTTGGAACCAACAAATCAAAAATCAAACCAATAATCAAACCAAATACAAATAAAAATATGGATTATTGGTTTCTTCTTCTGCTTCTTCTTTTAATTCGTATTTATTTGGTTGGGTTTGCAATTCAAAATAGTTGTTTAATTTTTTTTTACTAACGCGCGCTATTTCGATTGTTAATTAAATATTTTTCCTTTTTCTTTGGCTCTAAAATTTTTGCTGATGTTTTTTTTGTTGCTGCTGTTGTGCTTGTTGTTGTTGTTGTTGTTGTTGGGACGGGTTAATCTGCTATTCCGCTAATACGTTTGAAAATCGCAACTAAGTAGCTTAATTGGATTGACACTAAGTTGATAATTTGATAGTAGTTTGTAGTTTGTTGTATCTTTTGGATAAATTGCAACGTGTGTATGTTGTTGTTGTTGTTGTTGAGAAAAATATACAATTTGTTTGTTATATATGCATATATTTTTGTTATTTAGTTGTATATATATACGTTTTGTTTGATTTTATTTGGATTTATTCATTTATTATCAAAGTAAGTGAGTTCAAGATATACATATATATATATATATATATATATATAGAGAGAGAGAGAGAGGACCCTTGCCATGACAAACGTAAACAAGTTTGTTTGTTTTTGTTTCGTATGCAGAGTATTTGTTGCTGTTGTTGAGACTATTTACAAGTTTGGTTTGGTTTTAATTTTTTTTTTTTTTTTTTTTTTTTAATATCAAAAAATTTGCATTAACGCCAACGCAAGTTGAAGAAATAACGAAATGAAATTAATTTGAAAATTAAATTATATTGAAAAAAATGATAAATGTAAGTTAACAAATTATAGATAATAATTAAATTTATAATAATAATGGGTAATTCAAATATAACCTGCTGTTTATGTGTTTTGAGTTTAAAACGTGTTGATTTACTTTTCAGTTTTTCAAAAGCATAAACTTTTGTTTTTTGTTTTGTTTTAATTAAAATAATTAGCGCTTAAATGATGAGTTAGAATGTTAGTCATGTTTGTTTAACTAAAGAGAGCATAAGATGTTAAATGTTAAAGAGGGAAAATGAATATGAATAACTGGTATTGTTGAAAATAGCGAGTTAAGAGAGATAGTTTCTTTGTATATTGCTTAGGGTTTTATGTTTTTTATAAATATATTGTATGTATAAAGTAAAAAATATAAAGTTAATGCTTACAATCATTCATATCGTCATTGGATCTCATTATGTACTGATCCGATGATGATAGTCTTGAATGCCCGTTCGTATTGGGATGAGCTCCCCCCCTATGATCACTTTGTTTTACAGAGCTACGCATCGCCAGTGCAGATGGATTCGACTGATGCATATACATACTATCACCTTCGCACTCACTTTCTTTATACTGGAGCACATTTTTATGCTTCTCATAGATAACCAGGCACCGATGACATCCTTTCCTAAAAAAGTTTTTGGTTGCAACGAAAAGTTTTGGTTGGTTGTATTGTATTTTGTATTTTGGTTTTGTATATATGGTATGGGTATGGATTTTCTTTTTCAGATTTATTTTTTTTTTAGTTTCGATTGGTTAGTTTTGTTCAGTGTACGTTGGCTTTTTTGCGAGGTTTTGCGATTTGAAGTCAAAACAAGAGGCTTGAAAATTAAAGATGTTTTTTTTTTTTTTGTTGTTTTTTAAGGCTTCTTAACTATAGTAGTAGTAGAGTAGAGTATTGGAAATGTTGCTAAATGTGGGCGTTGCTGATGTTTATTGTTAATTGGTTCGATAGATAATGACATGTATTGAAAATCAAAGACATAGTGCAAAATAACTGAAGAACACAAGGGGGCTCCCCCACGATTATGTCGCTCCGGTTCTTTTGGAACAAAAAAAAAAAACTAACAAACAAACAAATGTTTTGTTGATATGTAGTAGTAGTAGTTGGGTTCACTTTATAAGCGTAAAGTATATGCAAAAATCCCAAACTCAACTGAACAAACATGTAAGGCTATGAGGTACCACTTTGAACTCTGGTTTCGATATCATGTCTCATGAATCCAGTAGCATTAAATGAGCACATTTTTAATAAGCACTATCTATAGATACTATATTATCTAAAACCAGTTTCATGTGACACCGCAATTACTCCTTGAAGTTTAGCTTTATCTTTCAAAAATTAAAACTAAGTTTCTGTTATATATTTAGAGTAGAAGTAATTGAAAAAAAATATATTGGAACGAACTCAAAGGACGTTACACTCAATAAAGAACTGAAATTGTACAAACACAAGATATATATTATATTGATATATATTCTTTAAAAGTGATGTTAAAGAATGTTTAATAGACGAACGCAAGAGTTTAAATCAAAAAGTAATTTTGTTTTTTGTTTGTAGTTGTTGTTTTTTTTTTAAAGGGTTAGGCAAAATGTTAGGGTTTTGTTAGTTTCCTAGGCACATACGTTCATGTAGTACGATACTTGGACTCGTTTTGTTTTTAATAGTATGTTACGATATTTAATTAAAATGAGCGGAATACGACAAAAATTTGTACAAAAATAATTCATTATAAGCACATATGTAGGTACAAAAATGTATTTGAAAAAAGGTGGCAAGCGTCATTGAAAGTAAAATGGAATCAGAGCGCATTTATAATTAGCCATTGTTGTTGTTAAACAATTTTATCCATTTTACAATCAATTTCGTTATAGGTATAGAGTATTAGATTTAAAAAACAGTCTTCCTTTTGTTAGAAAGTAAATGAAAATCAAAAAGCATTTTCACATTTCAGCTACAAATCAAAAATCGTATCACTTAGCTTAATAGGCATAGGATTGATTATTCATAATATGTAATATACTTATAGATATAGTATATAAATATGTATATATTGTATGGAGGAACATGACAGAACGTAAAAGTTTACGGCACAAAAAACAAAAATTAAAACTGCACTTTGGTTAAATATTCGTTTGGTTTCATTTTTTTTATTTGATATTATTTGAGTTTTAGTAAAAAGCAGTCGAGTTTCATAAAACAGTTTTCGTTTTCTTTTGTTAACATTAAAAAACATTCATAGCACAAAAAAGTTTTTTTTTAGACTGCGAGTCTAAAATGAAACTGAAAAAAAAAATGGAACTATTTTTTGTATTTGTATTTCTTTTCTGTATATAGCACAAAAAAGCAAGTATTGTTAAAATTCTTTGGTTTAGTTTCTCGTAGACAACAAAAAACAAGAAATGTTGAAAAGGCACTCTGGAAAAATGGGTAACAATAAGCGGCGCGACAGAGAGGCGCGCGCGCGGCTGCGGAGTAGAGAGGCAGTTTAAATTATAAGTAGGTAGTAGAAGTTAAATAAAAAAAAAACACGAAAAAAAGTTTGATTTAGTTTGCAGTTTAGTTGTAGTTGTAAACTCTAGTCGAGCATGTAGTACAATGGACGTGTACATACACACAAGCATATAGATATTTATAGAGATGTTAGGTATAGTTGGAGGTATAGTTGTATTTTATAGTACACGACTGACTGTTGTCAAACATCAAAATTAACTTGCACACACACACACAGACACATATACACGTATATATGCATGTATATAGACAAGACAGAGTCACTGTTCTGGACAGACGGGCAGACAGATAGACAAACAAACTTGTTTCAAAGGCAGCTGGCAGACGACAACGTTGTCGACAGGTTTTGACTGCAACATCGCGTTCCACAGCTCGTAGCAAGCATACTATACTACAAGTATATATCTATCTATCTGTCTATCTGTCTATATATAACTATGTATGTGTTTGTGTTTGTGTGCGCAGTAAGTTGCGCCCAATCATCAAGTAACTTTGCCACGCTCATTTTAATGAGGTTAGTGCTTCATTTTCTCGCCGCTTGACACTTCCTTGCCTCTTTTTGGATTCTTGCCTTGCCATTCGACCTACCTTACCTTAAACATTACTCACACCTTTCACACTTTAGCCAACAGAAAAAAAAAACAAAACAAACTGCACACTTAATTAATTGCAAGTTTATGAGTAAGTTAAAAATAAAAAACAACATACGAGTACATAAAGTATGTTTCGGCCGAAGTGGAAAGGCTTCTCGAGTACTAAGTTCAAATTGTTAGCATATTGTTAGGCGCGGATTAACGGTAAACAATTTGAATACTTACTCATCCACTATCAAGAATTTGTTACCGTCCGAGGCGGTACACCTGCCCCGGTAGCTAAATTGTGAACCCTTGATGTGTATGGATTGTTGATAGCCCGATAGAAACCATGAGCCCTCCCAGCGTGCCGGAAACGAGCAATTTGTGGGCGCTGCAAAAAATATACAAAATGCAATAAGAAAATTTTTTATTAATAAAATTGTTAGCTGGCACGCATTATAGGTTAAGTATTATATACATATAATGTATGAAAAGAGCCACCAAAGCACGAGGCAACACTTAAATTGCAACTCAATTGCCCGCAGGGTGTCTCTGTCTGCCACAATACTCTCCCAGCCTGCCTGCCTGAATGCCTGCCTGCCTGCCAGCCTATAGATGTATGTATGTAGATATGTATACGAGTATGTGTGGATGCGACCTCAATTGCGGGCATTGTTCATTTAACGACAACAGCCAAAAATAAATAAAATACAAAATAAAGAACAAGAAATACAAGCGATATGATAAAAAGAGCAACAATAAACAGTCTCTTTACTTTTCCTCAATGAAAAATGCGCCCAAATATATATTCGTATACATTTTTTTTTTTTTTTTTTTTTTGTGAACTTTTCTTGCCTTGCTTGCCTCTTCTAATTGTGATGTCAATTTTTATGCCAAGATTTGTGGCTTTTTAATTTATAAATTGTTTCAATTATTATTATGATTGTATTTAAGTGTGCATGCACATAAGTGAGTATTTGTGAGTCTGTACGAGTATTGTATGTATGTATGTATGTATGTATTGGTGTGCGTCTATGGCGTACGACCAACAACAAAAATTTACGACCCTCTTCAGTAAGGGCGCATAAATAAGTTGAACAAGCAGCCCAACCAAAAACTGCTCGTAATAATAATAATGTCGCACACAAACACACACACACACGGACACACACACACACACAGACAGAAGCAAACACTCATGCTCGATGGCATAAAAACTACCGAAATGGCAATTGTGAATATTAAAAAAATAAAAAAGGCAGACAAGGCAAGGCAGGCAGGCAGGCAGGCAGGCAAGCAGCAAAAATTGCCAAAGTATAGAGAAAGAATGAACGTAATGGAACGAACGAATAACATAGCAAAAAAGAATGAGAGAAAGAAAGAAGGAAAAGCGCACAAACGCAATGGCAAAATGTTGAAATGTTAGAACACAAGCTAAAGGCACGCCAAGTCAGCCCAAGCCAGGACACGACAGGATGGGACGGCACGGGAAGACCCGAGCCGAGTCGAGCTGGGCTGGGCTGTGAAGGGCAGGGCAGCCAGCGGGCGCACATACAACAAAATATACAAAATGGTAAAACCACCCTCAGAAACATTCGTACACACACACATACATACTCATACTTAATGTTTGGGCACGATTGGCAGGGAGTTGGGCGTCCTGCGTCCTGAGTCCTGGCCCATAAGCAGCAAAGGCAACCAAGGCAGTAGTAAGCAAGGAGTAGGGGTAGGTAGGGTTCGCCAGCGCCCGCTGCGCTACGCATTCAAATATACAAAAGTCTCCAGTAAGTACAAGAGCATATCGTACAGTGGGACAGCATCCCAAAGAAATACTCGCTATCTAAGCATCCAGAAGAATTATTCTTTCAGCTTTAACCAAAATTCTTCGCCTTTTGTTTATATACATATCAGATGAATATTAAAGACAACTCCAAATCGCTGTTTGTCAAATTTTATACAATTTGGTACTAGTCTGCCCCATTTTTTCTCTCAAATCACTTCCAATTGCCTCACTTTGGAGGCCAATTTTCTATCGAAAGTTTTTCTCCCTAACTCGTGAGTAATGCAAATGAGAACAAATAGTTCATTAGTTGAGATCTAAACAAATTAATAGTATTTCGTAGTGACATTTTCATCCCAATTCAAGAAAAATGCAAATTTTTGGCTCCTTTTTAATGTACTTATTAGCAGCAGAAAAGGGTCATACAAAAATATTTTTTTAAAAGGAAAAGCGATTTTAAAGTTATTTAAGGTATTTGAAGTACCGGTCGCTTGGGAAAATTAATTTTTTGGTGGCCATTTAAGTTGTCATGGAATTACATACTACAGTAAATAATTTTTAAAAATATATTCTAAAATATCATTTTAAATGTTCTTCAATTTTCTTAAGTATTTGTGTATTTTCTTTAAGATTATTTGTGGATCTTTGAAGCAAAGAGTCATATAACAAATATTTCTATCAAATATTTAAGTACATTTTTAAATAACTGTGGAATTAATTTTATATTGCTCTAAGTAGAATTGCAGAATAGTTAATAGGACTGCTCTCACTCCATTTCATTTCATTTCGAATTTTGTCCGCTAAAGCAAATATTTGGGAACCACTGTACAGCGTAGAGACGAATGTTCACACGAACAGCGGCGGCAATGGCTGCACCGTGTGCTGTCTACTTCATGCACACAAACACACAGATACATATACACACGTACATATGTATATTTTATTATATTATTCCTTTCTCTTGCTTTTACATTTATTTTTTGTTTTTACATTTGTGGCAAACAAAAGGTACTCATGCGCAGGATCAGCGCGACGCAGCGGCAAGCTCTGAACTCTGAGCTGTTCATGACTTGTATTTTTTTTGTATTTTCGTTGGCTTGCTGCTGCTGCTGCCAATGCTGTTGTCATAATGCACACACATATATATATACACACACACACACACACACACACATAATCGCACGCACAGCGGGCGATGCGCAAAATGTAGCATACTTTGTGGCACTGCTGTATGAGTAAGCCGGCCATTGCCGTTGTTGTTCCTGCGCGTTATAATTGTTTCGCCAATTTCAAGTACCGTGCATAATTTTTCAACATGATTCAATACTTTTGCGTGAGTGCCGCGACCGCTGTCTGTACAACAAAAGCGTCCTTTCGTCCTTTTTTCGCTACCCCCGAAATGTGCAGCACAAAACACCCAACACACAAAACATACACAACTACAAGCTAAAAGCAAATATACTCGTACAACTACACACACATTTAAACAGGCAGACAGACAGGCAGACCGACAGACTAGGAGGCGAACGGGCAGATAGACAACCGTACAAATACGTATGACAGTTGAAATGATGGGCTTTATGGTTATTTTCGGTTTACGGATTAGAGTGGCTCAAATTTATAGAACTAAGCAGACAACAAAACAACTCAGTTATGATGAATATGCTACGATAAGCCTAAAAAGCATTGGCCATTCGTCCTCAACACATATAACAGCCACAACTCAACCATTACAGATAACTCTTCACAACATAATTGTGCAACTGCTGATATCCAACTTAACTGGAAACTTATAAACACAGATAGCCATTGTATTTCCATAATGATTCAGTGATTCATTTCTAGCATATTTTTATATTCCAGTGTGTTCAAAAGAAAATAATTTATTTTAAAACATTCTCTTAACTTACACTGCACATTGCATCCTAAAGTTGAAACATCCCTAAACAACTTATAAAGCGACGAATGAAAACTGTATATTTATATTTTACTTTTGTGGCAAAAATATTCGGCGTAGTATTCAAATTCTATATTGATTTCAATCTCTACAATTAAATTGATTTGAAAAATATGTAACTAAGTAATTGCAAATTAATTCTTATCTTTTGTGTGAGATTTATTTTGTATCAATTTTGTATTATTTGAAATCTACCTAATCTTATGTATAAAAGCATTAAAAGAGGAGAGAGGCTTTAGACAAGATTTAATAATATTAATCTTTTTGCTTGAGAGTCATTTAATCAGAAAATTCATTTTTAAAAACCGCATAAGTAATTCAAAGAAAAAAGTGTGTTTTTATGAAACAAAAAAATAAAATCTGCTCAGAAATATTGGCCCAACTACTAACAATTTTTTAAAGCTACTTGCAATATCATTTTAATCGGTCATTTAGAAATATTGGTTTTCAAACTTCATTTAATGTTGGTTCAGCTCAAGCATAAAGAATAAAGATTACGACTAAAAGTATGCCTTAGGGGCAGACAACACCACTAGCTTCTGATATTGAAAGAACATGTTGGAGCGGGGGAATTAAGTTGGGGAGCACAAATAGTTCAGTAGTATTCGTAGTTCGTAGTTACTGTCCAATTAGGCAAAGGTTTTCTCAACTTAATTATCAACCCATTACCGAGAAATATGCCAAATGAGAAACCGAAAATTGTTGACACTTTGACAAAAGAAATAGAAATAATAATTATGTACGATTTGTGTGAGAACTGGCTGCTTAAATTTGAATAATAATAATAAGTCGGAATATAATTGACATTCAATCGGCTTTTCTGGAGTTCTAGAGTTTGACCGAGGGACAGCCATTATCATTAATCTTTCTACAGCATTGGCAAGTGCTGTTGAGGTAAATAAGGCGTTTATCTGGCTAATGGCTACTTTCAACAGTGCGCCTTAACATAATTATAATGCACACTTAAGTGCTTATGGCAGGAACAGCAACCCTACACAGGACCACCCTTATCGATGTCCATACTCGTACTATACTATATACTGGTCGTATAGCTCAAAGAGCATGACGTACGTATCGCTTCAGACTCATTTGCGTTCGCGTTTGGATTTCCCGCTTGGACTTGTTTTTGGGTGCCCAGAATGCTTTTGTCTAACTTGAGTGAATTATGGCTGTTGGGATGGACGGTCCGGGACGGAAGGGACGCATGGTTGGTCGGCGGCGCTTAGTAGCATTCGGTGGCCGCTCGTTTCGGGCAATTTCAGAACAATTTGCCTTTGCCTTTGCCAGCGCTACAGTAGCGGCTGTTGCTGTTGTTATTTTCGCTTTCCTGCTCTGCTCGCTGCTTTTTTTGTTTTTTGGTGGAAATTTGGCTCTTGGAAAAACAGTTGAAACGCATTATTTGAACGCAGATCTGCGGTCACAAACTACTTATGGATTCAATTGAGCGTGACCGAGGGACGAAAGCAACAGACAAACAAACTGACAGCCTGCCGCCTGCCGCATGCCTCATCCCTCGCTGCTGATGGTGGAGATGGAGATGGAGGCGAAGGCGGAGGCGGAGGCGTCAGCAGCTGGCGCAACTTTCGCCACGGCCTACAGAAAAATTATGCTTAAAATTAAATGAAAACGCCGCAACAAAAACAAGCGCGAGAAAACCAACAGAATGAAAAATAATTATCTTTTGCCTCACCGAAGCTACTGTACCCTTCGTGGTAGCTTTGTGTTAGAACTGCATATAGAAACGAGGCGAGTTGGTTTAAATCAAATGTTTACAAATGGCTTTACGAGACTAGACTAGAAACAGGCCTTGAAGGCATATTTAAAAGTATATCTATTCAGCTGTCTACTCTCACGTTTTACCAATATCTTTTTCACAATCAAGCAACAGTTCTTGCCTAGAGTTTAGTAAAGTGTTGAAAGCAGTTGTTACTATTTTAAAATAAAATTTGAAGAAAACTAATTCTAAGAGTTATACTTTTAAGGATATTTGTACAGGTCCACACTTTGAAAATCATAATATATTCAAAATATGCTAAGTAAAGAAAAATGCGAACTATTTTCCTATTTGCTATATCAAAGTATGTATCAGGAGTAATTTTTTTTATTATCTAGTTATCCCTAAATTGAACTCATTTCATTTAGTGTAAGGTTTATCTGTAAATACAACTTATAAAGTTATATAAATTGAAAAGTCTATTTTATACTTATGCTTATTTTTTTGAAAAACCTTTTAGATACCTTATTACTGATATATCTTTCAAATTATAACTGAGGATAATTTTTCTCTATAAATACTTCAATTAAAAAAGTAATATAAATTGAAAGGTCTATTTTATAATTATGCCTACTTTGATGAAAACCCTTTTAGAGACCTTATTACTGATATATCTTTCAAATTATAACTGAGGATAATTTTTCTCTATAAAGACTTCATTTAAAAAAGTAATATAAATTGAAATTATAAAATAGACTTATATCCTTACTGACCTTATTACTGATATATCTTTCAAATTATAACTGAGGATAATTTTTCTCTATAAATACTTCAATTAAAAAAGTAATATAAATTGAAAGGTCTATTTTATACTTATGCCCATTTTGATGAAAAACCTTTTAGAGCCCTTATTACTTCATTTAAAATCGGGGCATTTACTTTGTCTTGCCTCTCTAAGATTTTATAGTAAGAGAAAATCTATTCTATTACTTTAAAATCTATAAGATCTTTCATTCTAATAATTTTCTCTATATATGTATATTTGTTCCTAAATGCCTTTTTTTAATGAAAATTCCTAGAGTTTTACTAGTATTACTCATACAAGTCTATTCTTCATATCTTTCAATTACTATTTTTAATGTTTTTCCTCAAAAATGAGGTGAAAATCGATTCATTCGGTTTCCAAAAACAACCTCCATAATTAGGAAAAACCAAAAATGTAACTTAACCTGTTCGGCCAAATTTTAAAATACTCTACTCCCATGTTAAAATATTCTCGTCCTTCTAATGCTTACTAACATTCAGGATACTTATACTCGCAGTATTTAAGAATCTTATCCAATGGGAAATCATGTTTTTTGGTAAGGGTATTAGATGTTGTGGCTGTTGTTTGGACACAACAAATTATAAATTCTTATCATAGCGCTACTTATCAGCATGCGTTGTGCCGAGACTTTTGTACTCACCATCTTGCCGGCCGCCCCAGCAGCTAACGGACGTGGTTAGCAGGAGCATCAGCAACAAGCCAAGCCAACTTTTTGTCGACGTCATTCTCAGTGTCGCGGCGTTGTTGTAGCTGGCATGTGTGGTTGTTGTTGTTGTTGTTTTTGTTTTCGTTGTCGCATTGGCGTTGGTGTTGGTGTTGGCGGAAAAATTGGAGTCGGAGCTAAAGTTGAAGCAATTGCCCTGAAGCAACAGCAGCTGCTGCCAGAATTTTAGCCACGTAATGTTGCCGCCATCGTTGCGGATGCGTCTAGGAAGCTGTTGTTGCTGTTGCTGATGTTGCTGATGTTGCTGCTTTTGTTGCTGTTCGTCGTCGACGTCTTTGGGCCAGGCCAATGTACTAATATCACCGTTATAGTTAAAGCACCTACATTCATCATCATTCTGATTCAGCAGCGGGACAGTTGTGAGCATTGCTCTTGCTGTTGCTGTTGCTGTTACTGTTGTTGTTGTAGTTGTCGTTGTTTGCGAATTGTTTATGGTTGCGCCGACATTGCTGATTGGATTTGCTGCGGCATTGTTTGGCGTCACTGACGCATGACTTGGTCGTCGCTCCCGTTCCCGTTCCCGCTCTCGTCGCACACGTCGCTGCCGCCGCTGGCATTCCATTCCACCGACAGCACCCTCTACAACAATTGGCATAACTAATTGTGCTCCATGAGGTGGCAATGGCTTCCTCGTCGCCGTCGTCGTATGCTGTTGCTGCTGCTGTCTGAGATCACTGCAAGTGCTGATGTTGCACGTGGAACTATGCGTTGTGCTGGCCAACATGGGTAACTGAATAATTCGTTGCAGGAAATTCTGCGCCATCGCATTCTCATCAGCGTGGCCGGGGACAACACCATCGCCAGCTCGGCTGACATTCGGTGTAATTCTATTTAACATTGTTCTTACTGTATTTGTTGTTTTTGTTGCTGTTGTTATTGTTGGTATTCTTGTTGCTGCTGTCAACGTTGCCGCTGTAGCATGTTTATCATAATTTTTATGTTCCCAACGCTGTTGACAACAACAACAGCTGCCATCGTATTGGTAGCAGAAGTGGTAGTGCTCTCTCCCCTCGCCTTTACCCTCACGGCTGCAACTGCTGCATCTCCTGCTGCTCAGGAGAGTGCTGGCCGCAGGCACATGCTTACATGGATAGCAAAAAGGCGGTAAATAGATTAACGACGTTGTTCTTGTCGCTGCCGCTGCTGCTGCTGTTGCTGCTCCTACTTCTGATCCTGTACTAGCCTTGAACGTGGCCGTTGCTGTTGTTGCTGCTGCTGTTTTTGTAGTCCTCGTCGTTGCTGTTGCCTGCATTTGTGTTTCGGCTGCCCTGCGCTGTTGCGTATTCTGTGGGGTAATAAACGTGTTGCAAAAGACAAGAGTGGAATATTTTATTATTTTATAAAGTACAAACATGGTAGGGCCAAGTAAATATTACGAAAATAAGGTGGCAAACAGTGGCGGCTGTCGCATTTGAATTTAAAATAAAGCGCCACCGCAACGCCAACGTCTGCAATATAAAATAAGCAACAACAACGCCGCTAGAGATGGGCGCGTGAGCATTGAGTAATGATATTTGTATAATATTAAACATTATTTTTAGTATTCTTTAATTTTGTATACATTTTCGCATTACTTAATAGCCCCAAAGTATGTATGTACAAGTATACTTATTTCATGGGAATTAAGTCACGAAATTATGCACATTCATTAATTTGATTGTTCTTTTCAAGTTCTTGTTCGTGCACCGCCAGGTCTGAGATTAGTTTCTATTCAATATCATTGTCATCTTTAACAATCCGCCTCCCGCTGCCCTCTTCATTCACAAGCAATGCCACGCATCTACACACAATACGAAATAATACAGCACACAAGTTCTTTTTTCTGTGCTGTCGCTTCGCATATCGCATAAATAATCCCACAAAATTCATTGTTCACAATCCACACGCACAGCGACAACAACAATGAGACAACAACAAGAACAACAACAACAACAACAATGACATTGCTAAGCTAGCAAACGGAAAACAAATGCAGTTCCAGTTCCCCAAAAATAAAACTTCCTCAGCCGCGCATTAAAAAGCAATAAAAATAAATATGGGCGCGGAAAAAACGAAGCGGCAATCGAAATAAAATGTCCAACGGCGCGTAAATCAAAAATCACGCGCTATAAAAAAAATTAGACAAAATATGCGTACAATACGTATACTATATAGTACGTATATAGATAGATAGATATCCCATAGCTAAAGTCGTAGCTGCCACTGCTCTTCCGTTCTGTTTTCATGCATTTAGCGCCTTCGGCCCGCCCATCAGCATAACAACAACGACAACAACAACAACAGCTACAACAACTTCTGGCACTTCAGCGATTTTTTCGACTTTCCGCTGCGGCTGCTGCCTTCGCATAGAAAAACAAAACAAGAACAACAAAAAAATTAAAACCAAAATTGAAAAACTCACGCAACGCTTCTGGTGGAATGGGTGCCGAGTGGCGGGGAGTGGAGTGGAGTGGAGTGGACGAGTAGGTTTGGGAGGGGGTGGGGCAAGATTAAGATTGGGGCATGACCACACAGTCAGAATGCGAGCTCGTGGCGTTCCGCTGTCCAATCTGCTGCGGCGTTTCGAGCATAGAAAATTGAAACTTTCCAAAAGTTTGTGCACCCAAAATTGAAATGTTCTTTAATTGAAACGCTTTACGTCCACAGAGGGGTGGAGGGGCTAGACGAACTGTAGAAAGCAAGCCGTTGAGTATAATTTGGTGCCAAGTTGTAGACATACGAAAAAAAATCAAATAATAAAGTGCAAGATTTCTATGGCTAATTCAACAAAGTTTTAGCAAGTTGTGCCAAAATAAATTCAAGTATAATATATAACCTGCCCCTTGCCCCTCCTCTTGTGAATTTAATAGCAAAACTGTTGCTCCAATTGTCTTACGAAAATAGACTTATCATCACGTATTACCTGAACTATGTACAAAGCCCACTCGAAGGTACGTTTTTTAAAGCGATTACGCTGTTTTAATAACATTTCCGGGCCCCAATTATGTTACGAAAAATAACGAATTAAGCAATTATTATAATTGGAATTTTGCAATCACAATGCAATTTTAACAACTATTAAATTATTGTAATTAATGTTCATGTATTCGACAAACTTATGTCCTCGAGTACCTCAAGTCAAATTTTTAATAATCTCTATTTAGAGCAGTTTTCTAAAGTGGTTCTCTTAAAATACATTTTAACTCGATTGTCGGAATTTTTAGCTGCCATAATAGCAGAGTCTAGCGACAGTTTTAGTCATTTCTATGGAGTCATGCCAAGTATTTCAAATATTTTTGTATAATTCCAACATTTTAGTAACACGATATTTTAGAGACATTAACATTTGGACGATATTTCACACTTTTAATAGTTTTATGCAACTTATGGGGCATTTGTATTTGTTGCTTGGCTGAGACTTTTCCTCTATGAAATCATATGTGAATTCTACTTATCTCTGAGTCTTAAACTGCAGTAGTTCTGTCGTAAATATGAAATGCTTAATTTTTTAAACGAACAAATATTATAATAAGTGCCATTATAAATCTGTATTTAAACAGCATTAAGCTTTTCACAGCTCAGAAGGTTGCATCAATCAAATGAAATACAATTGACTAAAAAGTTCGCTTTCAATTCAACACAGAACACGAACAACAAAGGTCTTATTGGACCATTGGAATTTTTTATAAAATACTCCATATTTTACTAAAATAGATCTACAAACATAAACTTTGAAATGAGAAACGCTATGTACTTCTGTTGAGATTGTGGGAGGAGATTAGATTAGAATTTCTTTCATTGTTGGATTAGTTTATTGCAACTAACGATTTGTCTTAAATGGCGTTTTATAAGTTTTTTTAAAAACCGAGCAAGTTCTTAAAGCGACGCCAAAGAATTAAAATAGGCCTAAAATCTAATTTAGTCTCGGTTTGAATAACCTTTCAAAAATCTCGCAAATTCATATTCTAAGCACTTTCCATACCAGAAATGTGGAAATGGGGCAAGAAAATCATTTCAAAAGTCAACTATTTATATATTTCTTTCAAATTGTTGAATGGAAAACGATAAAAATAAGAGATCCGGGAGTTGTCAATTGATCTATGGTATTATTTGTATTTTATTGAAGATATTTAAATTTTCTGACTGATTCTAAATGCTTTAACAAAAATACGTTCTACTCGCTGGTTACCAATACGATGTGAAAAAGTTGCTTTTCAAAATTCTTTCAATGGCAAGAGGCAGAATCCCTGAAATCCCTGGTGAGCACGTGAAGAAGAAAATCAAACAAAAGTCAAGTTGCCGAATGCGCGACCATAATGCAATTTTCATGTTTTTTTGTTGCTCTTCGACCGTCAGCAGCATCGTGGTCGTTAACGTTAACGTTATCGTGCTCATCGAGCATCTCCATCATCGTTATTATCATCATCATCGTCTATGCTAATTAAGTTAATTAAAAAGTACCAGCAAAGTATTTGCACTTAGCCAACTTCACGACACAATCAAAGAGCAGCACAGCGTATGGAAATGAAAATGAAACCCAAGTCATGTCAAAATGCTCTTAAAAAAGCTATAGCAGAGTAAGCCTGACAGCAACAAGAAAAGATATATATATATATATATATATATATATATATATATATATATATATATATATATATATAAGAAACGAGGCCAATTATAAGCTCCATCATTAATTTGAATAAAATTAATTTCTCATTTTACACAAACACTGCCAGCGCGCACATAAATACTCAGTTCATAGAGTGTGTGTGCCTCAAAAAAAAAAAGTCGCATATTAAAGAAAATGAGGCATTCAGTCAGACAGGCTGTCCGTCTGTCTGGCTGATGGACAGAGAAGGCGGAGAAATGACACGATGACTATAAAGATGATGGTGTGGTGTGGTGGTGGTGGTGGCAAATAAAACATTTAGGCTGAATTATAATTTTATTTTGCCTATTTATAATTTACGTTTAAAATGTGAAACACCTGACAGCTAAAAAGAATTTATGTTCGCATGTTTTCCATTAATTTATTTTTCCACAAAAAGAAGAAGCGCCTTGCCCTGCCTTGCCTTGCCTTGCCTGGCCAAGGAGGAGCCCAAAATGCCTAGACCATGTGTGAAACAAGCAACAACAACAACAACAACGACAGCGACAACAACAACAACAACTGGAACCAGTATATTATAAGGAAGACTGTAGAACGTTGCACGTTGAATGCACAGCAGGAAAAATGAATGTACGAGGCGCGAGCTGGCGCTGAAAAGGAAAATACGAGGCACATTTTGCTATCACGTTTGGACTATAAAACTGAACAGAAGAGGCAGACACGGCATGTGGAGAGGCAGGGCTGCCAGCCAGCCAGCCAGCCAGCCAGCCAGACCCTGCTCTGATGATGTTGTTGATGGCGTGGAGCGCTGGGTACGGCTGCCGAAATGGCAAGAAGACGTCCAAAACCAAAACCAAGACGACGATGTCTCGACGACGCAGTGTGCAAAAGTTGTCAAGTAAATACAAACGAAAATTGTAGGTACGACAACTATATGCTATATACAAGTATATACAGTATAATCTCAATAGTCTAGAGTCTAGACAATTGATAGTGTTCAGCCAATGTGCGAAATGGCCTCCGTTCCTAAGAATACTTTTTAAATACTATATTCACAATTTAAATCTGTCCAAAGATGCAGAATACAGGCTCTGCCAGAAATGCCATGATACTTAGCCTTAGTCTGAAATTGAAGAAAGCGGATTCATAAAGAAAGTTGAATCTTTGCATAAATTATGCATTTAGCAACGATATAATTGCTCTTCTTCATAAGGGAGTCGGATCTACCTAATCTTGTCCCTGTAGGGAGCACAAAAATTTAAGACATGGAGTAATTTCTCTTCTCTTCATCATAATAACAATCGGACAATTCGACTATTTCGGATTATCGAGACATTCAAAAAAAATGAACGACTTATTTTTATTGATTGATTTTTCATTTAATTCATCATTTTTTCATTTAATTCGCATGTAAACTTTTTTTCTTTTTGAAAATTTAAATATTTTTATCTAACACAAACAATTAAAATGTCGTCATTTGAGGAAAAGCCGAAATTGTTTTAAGATTGAGTGTATATTCTCAAGTAGAGCGCATAATCGGAAGAAGCAGATCATTCATCTGTTACCTATGAAATAAAATTAATTACTTAATTTTATTGATTGATTAGTTATTTAATTCATCATTTAATTTTTCATTTAATTCGCATGTAAACTTCTTTTTTATTTTTGAAATTTTAAATATCTTTTCTAACACAAAC